TAAAGAAACTGCTGTATCAGAAAGGGAGTCAAGCCACAAATAGTCCAGTCTCAAGAAAGTAGTGCCAGTTCCTAATTAACATACCAATCTACAGGCCTTCCCGCAATTTATCAACAACAAAAAAAAAGGTTAAAAGTAGGAATTCATTGATATCAAAAAGTAGCACTACATCCGTGCATCAAATAACCAAGACATCTGAAGGGGCATGAAAGTAGAAACTAATTGATATTGAATTCAAGTTACAGGATGCAAAACAAATTAAAGTACTTCTAATTGCAAAATTAAAAGTCATTAAGTCAGAATCCCTAATTTTACGAACCTGCAGAGCCTACCAACCCTCAATTCATCTAACCAAAACAAATTAGAGTACTTCCAAATTTCCAATTGTAAAATAAAAAATCATTAAGTCAGAATCCCTAATTTCACTAACTTGTAGCACCCAATGTGTACCTAAATCTTCACTGTGATAGACGATTGACGAGAGTGAGAGGTTGAGGTCAAGCGCCGATCGCCGAACGGAGAGGCAGAGAGAACGAGTGAAATTTGTGTTTTTCTTCTCGCCTTCATTCTTCTCTTCATTTTTCTGAAACCAAACCAAGCAAATTGAGTAAAATGATATTTTTCGGTATACATACATCATTATATGAATTTGAATTTACTAATCTTCAAGAAAATTGATTAAATTAGGGTTATGGTTTTCCTGACTAGGGTTTTTACGAAGATCTGTATCTTTGAAGCAGAGGCATGGTAGTTTTGGCAAGGCGGCGAGAGAATCACAGAAGGTGGATTAATGGAGGGAGGGAAGCGTGAAGAAGGGCTGGGTTTGGGTTAATAAGGGAGGCGTGAATAAGGGTTGAATGTTTTTACAACGTTTTGCAGACTTACGAAAAGTGAAATATTTTCTTACTTTTGGCAACGTTTAATAAACGCTGCGAAAAGTAGATTTTTCGCAACTTTGATTAAACGCTGCGAAAAGTAGACTTTTTGCCTTTTTATCAAACGTTGCGAAAGGTAGACTTTTCGCAACGTTTGATAAACGTTGCGAAAGGTCCTACCTTCCGCAACACTCATTAAACGTTGCAAAAAAGGGTCTATCGTAACGTTTTTCTAAAAAACGTTGCCAAAACTCATTTATATTAACCATTTGCAACATTCAATTACTAAAATGTTGCCAAAAGACCTTTTTAGCAACATTTATCAACAAATGCTGCCTTTTTCATGTTGCAAATGGTGTTTTTTTGGTGTAGTGATTGACTGCAAAAATATAATTATTCAATATTGTATACCAAACACATCATTAGTGGTGGAATTCAACAAAATGGCAAATAAAATGGTTGGATCTTCCTTCAACTTGTCAAAAAAGGTTAGATAACAAAATAATATATTGAACTTGAAAAATAATGTGTAACAAATTAAATTGAGGCGCAGTTATTTCTTTTTCCTTAGGGAGATTCGGGAATAAGTTGACTCGACTTATACAAGTGCATATAATAACGTCTTTCCATAATTTAGTGTAATTGTTTTCACCAATTATGCGACGTCGTTAAGAAAGAAAAATAAATTTAAGTTTTGAGAGGTTTACATGTTTGGTAATAACAACCCGACTATATCTTTGTTCGCCTCTTTACATGGTACTTATAAGTTAGAACAAGGAGATTCACATGTGAATCCTAGTATTTAGTATGTATCACAAAAGCAACTATTTTGAACAACTTTATACGCACGCAACAATTTAGAGAGTTGAAGCATTACATGTGCCCACTTTGCACAATGTCTTTGAAATATCACAAGTTAAGAATATCAACATGCTAAACTTAAGGAATACTCAATCAAACTTTATAGCATAAACAAGTTTTTCGTTATCGTCACATATTTACTATATCTACAAAATTTTATAATTCCTCCAAAGTAAATATA